CGGAGCTAGGAACAGTGTGTTCGGGTAGTTGCCAGTGAGGTAGTCATTGGGTGGGGTATTTGAGCTTGAGATTTTATTGGCAAGGTTTTTTCCTATGGAGGAGAAGAAATCATCGAGTATGTTTGCTGTTTCAGTTGGTGGGAGTTGGGGTTCATCTGGTTTTGCTATGCAGAAGCAAATGTTCCATCCTTGAACAATAATTGTATTATAATAAAAAAGAAGCGCTAAGCCACAAGGGCTATACAGTGGACCCCCGCATACCGTTGGCATCACATACCGTTTATTCCGCATACCGCTCACTTTAATCGCAAAAATTTTGCCTCGCATACCGCTCAAAAACCCGCTCACCGCTGTTCGTCCGAGACGCGTCCAATGTGCGCCTTAGCCAGCCTCACATGTTCCGCCGGAGGCATTGTTTACCAGCCAGCCTCCGCGGTAGCACCCAAGCATACAATCGTAACATTTCGTATTATTACAGTGTTTTTGGTGATTTTATCTGGAAAATAAGTGACCATGGGCCCCAAGAAAGCTTCTAGTGCCAACCCTACAGCAATAAGGGTGAGAATTACTATAGAGATGAAGAAAAAGATCATTGATAAGTATGAAAGTGGAGTGCGTGTCTCCGAGCTGGCCAGGTTGTATAATGAACCCCAATCAACCATCGCTACTATTGGTGGTACAGCTGCTGCTGCTGTAGCATCGTCTGCTGCTGCTGTAGCACTGTCAGCTGCTGCTGTAGCATCGTCTGCTGCTGCTGTAGCATCGTCTGCTGCTGCTGTAGCACTGTTGTTGGTGTGGCTTATTGAGAATATACCAAGAAACAATTAACCCCAGAGGATTTGCCACCCAGGATAACCCAAAAAAAGTCAGTGTCATCGAAGACTGTCTAACTTATTTCCATTGGGGTCCTTAATCTTGTCTCCCAGGATGCAACCCACACCAGTCGACTAACACCCAGGTGAACAGGGAAAAATGCCTGGAACTAGTGCTCATATTGGTGAATTTAAAGCCAGCAAAAGTTGGTTTGAGAGATTTAAGAATCGTAGTGACATACACAGTGTGATAAGGCCTGTTCTGGAAGAAAATGCCAAACAGGACCTAGAGTACTCAGGAGGAAAATGCACTCCCAGGACACAGTGTCTCATCAGTCATTGCTGCATCTTCAATAAAGGTGTCATTTATTCTTCATTTAGTAGACTAGTACATGCACAATATATACTGTGCATGTACTACTCTACTATTGTGCATGTATCCTTCTCTTTGTGTGTAGGAAAATGTATATTTCATGTGGTAAAAATTTTTTTTTCATACTTTTGGGTGTCTTGCACGGATTAATTTGATTTCCATTATTTCTTATGGGGAAAATTCATTCGCATACCAATGAGCCCTCTTGCACGGATTAAAATCGGTATGCGGGGGTCCACTGTACAGCGCTGCAGGGTAGGGAAGGAAGCGAGGGTATTGGGCGGCAGAAGGGGGGAGGGATAATCAGTAGGTTACAGAAAACAGCAGGGCAGAGGATAGTGCGGGGGTAGAGGGTAGCAAGAGACTGGGGTAGAAAGGGCTGAAGGCATCAGAGTTTGTGAAGTAAGTCAGTTGTTGTCAAAAAGTCAATGAGAGAGTCCAGATGAAAGGTGGGTCCATCAGCGAGAAGGGAAGGTAAAGAGAGAGCAAGCGGAGCGAAGACAACAATGGAGGTAAATTCTGCGTGCTCGTTGATAAAGTGGGCAGTCCAACAGAATGTGGCTGACTGATAATGGAGCCTGATATCCATGAGTAAGACGAGTATGGCCAATGCGAAGACGGGAGAGAGTAGTCTCCCTACCTCGACACTGGTGACAAGAAGACGGCCAGTAACCTATACTCGGTTTAATAGATTGAAGTTTGTTACCAAGCATAGTTGACCAACGTTGTTGCCAACGGGTGTGAAAGTGGGTAGCTATTGCAGCAAAATAGTCCATAAATGGAATACCTCTATATGAAACTGGTAGGTCATGTACTGCTGACCGCGCAGCAGTGTCTGCCTGTTCATTGCCCTGTACGTCAACATGACCAGGGACCCAACAAAAAACAATATCTTTATGCTTGGTAAAGATGCGGCGTAGCCAAAGTTGGATACGGAGGACTAAGGGGTGAGGTGTATCAAATTTCTGTATAGCCTGTAAAGCACTAAGGGAGTCTGAGACAACCACAAATGATGACACAGGCATAGATGCAATACGGATAAGTGCTGCAAGAATGGCATACAATTCAGCAGTAAAAATACTAGCCGAAGATAGTAAATGCCCTCGTACGACGCTGTCCGGAAACACTGCTGCGAATCCTACGCAGTCAGAAGACTTAGAGCCATCTGTGTACACTGCAATGGCATGAGAATGAGAGTGGAAGTGGTCAAGAAAAAGAGAGCGGGAAATGTCCGTAGGCAGTTGGGCTTTCGAGCAAGGGAGAGAGAAAGAACAGACTCGAACAACTGGAACTTCCCAGAGGGGTAGGGAAAAGTGAGATGCTACATGAACATAGAAAGGTGGTAATTGAAGAGAAGACAAGAGCGAATGTAGGCGAAGAGAGAAGGGACGGAGTAAACAGGGGTGGCGAACAAATAAAGAATGTCTACTAATATCAGTGACCATTCTATAAATGGAAGGATTGCGGAGATCATGGGAGCGTACATAGTAGAGAAAACAATAGTTGTAATGCTCATTGCCTCTGCTATTTTCTCTCATGACCTTCACGATCCTTCTACACACAAGATAGTAACGAATGTTAGCGCGAGTCCATCATGTGTTCGCTGCCCATTTACTCCGTCCCTTTTCTCTGTCTTCAATCGCTCGATATTTAGTGTCTTCCCCACTGCTGTGCACAAAAGCCCAAATCCCTACTGTTGTTTCTCGCTCTTTCTTAATCACTTCCAATCTCATTCTCATGCCGTTGCAACGTACACTGATGGTTCTAAATCTTCTGGTGGTGTTGGTTTTGCAACATTGTTTCCTGACAGTGTGGTGCGAGGTCATTTATTCGACTCGGCTAACATTTTTACAGCTGAATTGTATGCCATTCTCATTGCAATTATCCATATTGCATACATGCCTACTTCAAAGTTTGTAATCGTCTTTGACTCCATTAGTGCTTTGCAAGCTGTTAAAAATTTGATTCACCTCATCCCCTAGTTCTTCGTATACAACTAGTTACGCTGCATTACTAGCAAAAATAGAAATCATTTTCTGTTGGGTCCCTGGGTCATGTTGATGTTCAGGGCAATGAGCAGGCAGACTGCTGCACAATCTGCAGTACGACCCACCAGTTTCATATAGAGGTATTCCATTTTCTGACTATTTTGCTGTTATCTCTACCCACCTTAGCAACCGTTGGCAACAACGTTGGGCTGATGAAACTAGTAACAAATTACATTCCATCAAACCAAGTTTGGGTTTCTGACCTTCTTGCCATCAATTATTATAATCAAAAAGAAGCGCTAAGCCACAAGGGCTATACAGCGCTCTTGCCATCAATACCAAGGTTGGAAGACAACACACACTCATCTTCATATCATACACTTGTCTAACTCATGGATATCTCGTGGAGAGGCGTCCTGTTCCATTTTGTGAGAATTGTCGAGTTCCTGTTTCAATTTCCCATATTCTGTTGGGTCGTCCTGTATCAAGGAGTATGCAGAATATTCCTGTCATTACCGCTCTAACGCCCTCTATTTTCCTTCCTTGCTGACGGGCCCACCTTGGACACAAACTCCCTCTTTGACAGCAACTGATTTATTACACAAACTTAGATAATCCTTCCTTTAGTACTCCTCACAGCCCCTCCTAACTTTACCTTGTCATCTCTACCTTTATTTATTCTTAGATCCTGCATCAATTCCTACCCTGCAGTGCTGTATGACCCTGGTAGGGTTAGCACTTCCTTTTGATAATTCAAATAGTGACTGATGGTCCATAAAAAAAAAAAAAAGATTGAATCTTGGATATATCATGGTGTAATATGCTCTTCCTGGGCTTGTTTCTATCTCACTTTTATACTACATATACAATTCAGTTGTACTACCACAGTAATGGGTCATTAGTTTTTATTGTATTCCAATGTATCATGTGCCCCATTCAATCGAGATATTCAGCATTTCTCTGTATTAAAAGGTCATTGTCCCCAATGACTCTTTCAGTTTATTTTTTTCAACTGTGTACTCCTCGTAATTTGCAGATGTACTTACAGTAAATTATTTCTTCCTCCACACTATAGCCGATTGTGGAAAAGGACACGCGTGTAGTTCAAGACATTGATTAAAAGGAACATTTCACCACGAGTAGATTCATCAGTCATTAGAACTGATGAAGCCACTGGTGGTAGAATGTTTCTTTTAATAAATGTCCAGAAATCAAAGACCGACTCGTAATGTTTCATTTGTTATGTCTCTACTCATCAGTTGACGAGTATTTTGTTTCAGTAAGAGGTTTGTGCATCTTGTAATGCTTCTTCCATTCTCTTACCCTAATGTGTATTTTGATCTAATTTGTAATATATGTATATAAAGGAACCACTAATCCTTTTGGGGTGGAACAGCACTTGGTACTTTTTTTGTAACAAATAAATTTTGCTTGTTAATGAGCTGGTTCCAGGTCCTTTTTACAGTCATTACAGATACTTTGGTAGGTTTGCTATTTAAAGAAATGTTTGACTGTGAAAGTCATGCAGCACTTAGAAAAAATATATTCAACACAAAGGAAGACAAAGGTAATGTTAAAGTAAAAACTATTAACATGACTAAAACACACAGTACTAATAAATACTATCCTTCAAAGTTAAAATAATCAGCATCAGTTACAAATTCCATTAAATTATTAATGGCAAGACTAATAAAAGTTCCAAGTTCCCCTCAAGCTCCGTGGTAATTATCAAGACCATCACCACAGCAATTTAAATGCATTCTAGTCAGTACTACAGTGCTGTATTACCCTTGTGGGTTTAGCACTTGGTTTCAAGGATAAGAAAAAAAAAATTTTTTCTTTGTTTAATATTAACAATTATGCTTAGATGATACCAATCTTGTTAGCAACATCAAGAGCATCATAGTCTGGAGCAAGCTTCACATATGCCTTCTTAAGCCCATCAGGTCTGTGAAGCGTGTTAACACGTGCAGCATCAATCTCGTACAGCTGAAATAAAAACTCAACTGTTATCAAAAGGGCCCTACTATGATGGTAGAGGAGGAAAAAACTTTTTTTTTTTTTCCTAACAGGTCGGCTGTCTCCCACCAAGGCAGTGACCCAAAAATAAAGAAAAAACTTTCATCATTCAACACCTTCACCATCACTCATAAACATGTACAGTATAAATAAATATTTAGTACAATATTTTATTTTTAACACACTGGCCATCTCTCACTGAGGTAGGCAACCCAAACCCAAAACACTCAGTGATAGTGTGAATGTCTTGCCAGAGATGAGTATATACTCCAGATGTCCCTCCAAACAGCAAATATCCCCTCCAGGACTCACAAATAAGTTACCCTGCTCACACTCAACTCGTCAGGTCCCAAAAGCATTTGTCTCCACTCATCCAACACACACACACATGCCTGCTGGATGTTCAAGCCCCCTTACACACACAACCTTCTTTATTCCCTCCCCCTATCTTTTCCTTGGACAACCCCTCCTCTTCAAGGGGGGCCACTTGGCATGGTGAAGAGGCTCTTGGTCTGAGGAATTAGACCTGTCGGTCTTCTTCCTCAGACCGAACCTAATTACCCCCCAATCTCCCCTCCCCTTTTTCCTTTCCTCCTCCTCCCCCCCCCCCTTTTGCCCTTCCTCTTTTCAGCCTTTGGGATTTCTCCCACAGGTGCGCTATTTCCAAAGTAGGGGAAAGGATACCGGGGTCCATCCTTCCGTTGAGGTTTTTGGCGTGGCGTAGTTTCCCGGGGAATTCGGACCCCTGGGGATGTCCCGACCCCTTCCCCAGTATCCCGGAGTGCTTTGGGTGTTTTCGGGGACGGGTGTATCTCTGGAAGCCCCTTTCGGTTTCCGGGGGTGGGGGCCGAAGGAGGCATGTTTGGGCGGATACCCGACCCCCCTCTCTTTTGTCCCCCGGGGAAAAGTCGGCGTGTGAGGTTGCTATCCCGGATTGTTAGTTTATAGCATGATGGGTGGGGTTGGCATGGGTTCATGCTGCATCTCGTACTGAGGGGCTGAGGTCTCTTGGGCGCGGGGGGAAAATTTTTGGCCCTTTCATTCCTCCTAGGAACTATCCTCCCCGGTCCCCCCTTTTTTTTTTTTTTTTTTTTTTATTTTCTTTATTTTTTTTCTTAAAAAAAAAAAGAAAAAAGTAACTCCCCATGGCAGCCTGTCATAACCTCCACCCCGGGCCCCTTCTTGATACCGCCCCCGTTCTGCCCCCGCCTCGTCTTTGGACCCTTTCGACCCCCCCATCCTTTTTCCCCTCTTGCGGTGTGTTTCCTCACCCGTTCGGGTACTGGGGCCTCGACGTTCCTTCGTTTATCGGACCTTCGCTCTCCTCTATGCTTCCGGCCTCTCCCTTCGGTGCGGAAATTTTCAAATCGCCGCCCTTTTCCCTTTGGGACCAACTCTGGTCCCAGCCTAAACGACAACGACAATTACCTGTGATGATATTCTCCCCCCTTCTCGTTTTCTCAGAAACGTCGACAGTCCTTAACACTTTCCACGCTCAGTTTCAGATGAACAATGGACTAAATCTTCACTTTACAAAACGACCCCTTATGCCTTCTTTCTGACAAAGAAATGGCAAGGCATCCTATGCCATGTTGGTAAAGTATTCTTTTCATGCTCAAGGCGGTACGCGCTCATCCCCGTACAAAATGCTACCAGGCTCATGAGCTCTTCGTCTTTCCCTATCGAACTTTCCTGTCATTTGAAAAAAATCATTCCCCCTAAATTTTGTAGTGGTACGTCATTCGCCCCATACCTAGTTCAACAAAATTTAGACATGTGGCACTGACTTCTTAAACGCTGGAACTCAAGATCTCCCAACCCTAAAGGGGTGAACTTAGTTTTCCTGCCCGCGGGCGGAGACGATACCTAGCAATGTGGGTCTTTTAACTTTTGACACCCGAGAACTCCCATCTCAGTTTATATAGCGGAATGGGTTTACAAGCCAAAAAGGTGATCCCAACCACAACAGTGTAGAAATTGCTGGCGATTTGGCCACCCCAGCGAAATTTTGGAATCAACGCCGAATGCCCATCTGTTGTGCCGATGACCATTTAAAGTCTTGCAATGATCCCCCTTTGCCTTAACTATCATGAGGCCCCCCCTTCGTCTCAAAGAGACAGAAGGTCCCTTATGCCATGGCAGTTTCTATCCCCGCCTAAAAGGGAGACCCCCAGGTTCTTTTTTCCGTGTTTCAAAAGCCCCCCACTTCTGGTATCCATCTTTCACCCACTCTGGGGTTCCCTTCCCCCATAGTCCCCTGTATCTAATCCTTTTGCCTGTCTGGCTCAGAGCCCCTACTTCAACGCCTCAGTCTGCTGTTTCTTCGTGTTCTCTCCACAAGCCTCGTAAAGACGAGTCTGTATGACCCTCCTCCCAATGCCCCTCAATTTCAAAAGTAAAAAAAAGGCCCTTTAAACACCTTACCCATCTTCCACCCCCTCATTTTACCCTCCTGTTCTGTCCTGGTTCTACCCCTCTCACGGTTCTTACAAGTGTAGGGTTCCCCCTCCTCCTCTTACTGTACCTTCCTCCCTTTTCCCCCCCAGGTTTTTCCCTCTTCTGCCCCCTCCCGGGTTTTCTCCCTCTTCTGCCCCCTTCCCCCAACTTCCCCAGTTCCCTCCACCCTTTCCCCCCCCCCTACCTTGGTTCATCCAATACAGTTCAATCTTTAATATCCTCCCCCTACCTTTTCCAATATTGTCCCCCTACCGTCTCTGAATCCGAAACCCTTTGAAGAATCTCTGAAATATTCAGGGACCAAAATCAATGGACACTGATTCACCCTCTTTCTTCTCTCTCCTCTCCCCTCTACGCAATCCTTTCTTCCAGGCACCCTTCCCTTTGCTGCTTGAAAGTTTTTTCCCCTGCCTCCGCTGTGGACTTTTTTAACCCTCTAGTCCGTAGGAACCCTTACCTGCGGATTTCAAGTTTTTATCATTGCCAATCATGGCCTATTTACGTGGTAAGCGGCCCCAGGGGTAAAAAGGAGTGAGCTTCAGATGTTACTCTCCCAAATTTGCCCCGTTGGTGTTTGTTACAGGAACCAAAATTCACTTGCTGTTATCTCTCCCCTCCAGGCTTAATTTTTTTTTCTTCAGATCCTTTTCCTGTGGGACTTTTTTGAAAATGCCCCTTCTTTACCACTTATTCCTACCCCTTTTTTTCAAACTTCCCTTACACACACCCCACCCTTGCAAAACCCCCCCCCCCCTTTTCCCCCTTCCCATACTATTGGATATTGCCCCTTTCTTTTTTTGCAAACCGCCCACGATTCTTTACAGGTTTTTATGCCCCCCTTTTCCCCTTGGGGGGTCTTACGGATTCCCCGTTCTTAGGTTTTTTCCCCCCCACCCCCTCCTGTTTTTTCAGGTCCCCAACCCCTTTTTATCCTGGCCCAACTTTCTTGCTCACTTCCCGTTTTTCTCCACCCCTTGGGGCTTACTTGGTCTTTCTCCGGGCCTACTGACAGCGTTTATTTCCCATTTCATTCTTACCTCCCCCTTTTATTTACCCCTCTTCGCATCCCCGCTGGCAATTTGATGGGCAAAAATTTGGAAACCCTTTTCTACCCTAAACTGTTTTCGAGAGGTTTCCCTTTTTCGTCTCCCTCGATGAGCTTTTACACCTTTCTCGCCCGTTTTAACCCCAGCTTTCATTCTAACCCCCAAACCCTTTGGGCAGGCTTTCAGGAAAGCGTCCTTTTTGGTCTCCTGCTTGTGCTCGTCAGTCGTTTGAAAGTGCTGCAGGGGTAGGTACCGGTACAATGACCACAGTCCTTGATTTTAAAAAAGACGGTGCGATTGCTCGGTGTCATCCATGACGTAAAAGCACTTGCTGGGGAGATTTGTCTCCACCCTACCCCTGCTTCCTTATGAGTGCAGTCTGGAAAAAAGTCGAAAACTGAGTGGGAAAAATTTCCTGACCCCGGTCCCGTTTGGGGTTGCCCGGGGTTGATTGCAAACCCCCTAGATGTTGCCCAAAGAAATTGGCAATATCTGGTCCGTATTTTTTCAGGACTCATCTATGCCCCTCTTTTTTTTCCTCAAAGTCTGCCAGAAAAGTTAGCACCCTTGGACTTTTTTCTCTAGAGAAGAACAGTATAATGTGCCTTTTACACTTCAAGAACTGGAGGCAACACTCTCAGCTTGCCGATCATCGGCAGCTGGGCCGAGACATTCATATTCGTAGCTACAACATTTACATCAGTCAGCCCTTGCAGCCCTATTACGCCTTTACAATCTTATTTGGTCACAAGGAGTTCTTCCACAGTGGGGAAATCCGCCATTGTTCTCCCTTTCCCCCAAACCAGGCAATACGGGACATGAAACCCTCCCACTATCGTCCCATTGCTCTTCCCAGTGCAGTTTGCAAAGTAATGGAACGCCTAGAAATAGACGTTTAGTGTGGTATTTAGAGAACATAACAGTCTCCCCACTGTCAATATGGCTTTGAAAGGGGACGTTCAAACCTTTAGCCCCCTTTTACTACGTTTGGGATACGTATGTTCGTAATGCCTTTGCGAATAACCCACTCAGTTATTGTCATATTTTTTGACCTTGAGAAGGCATATGACACAACTTGGAGGTATAATATTTATCCCAACCCCACTCCTTAGGCCTTCGAGGCAATCTCCATCCTTCCTTAAGAACTTTTTAACTGACAGCATTTCCGTGTTCGGGTTAATAATGTGCTCCCCCCGGATTTATCCAAGCTGAAGGTGTCCCCAGGGGATGTGTTCTGAGCACAACACTTTTCTCCTTGCTATTAATGATTTGGCCTCTAGTCTTCCATCAAATATTTGGTCATCACTTTTGTTGATGAACTTCGCTATTGCCTGTGCAGGCGCTGACGGTCACCTCATTACGTTTCTCTCCAACATGCAGTCGACTGTGTTTCAATTGGGCCACCCCACGGGGGTTTTAAAATTTTTTCCAGCCCAAAAAACCCACCAAATTACTTTCACTAGACAC